TTCATCCATAGTGTGGAAACAAAATATATCCTACTTTACCTTATATGGCCCAGAGATTACATATGCATCTTCTCTCTCACAGTCTGTAAACATTACAAATCCTTACAGACTGTATAGCCAGGGGCCGCTATAAATAAAAACACTATCTAATCTATAATAATAATTAACAGCTTTTTGGTGTCCTGCAGATTGCCTCTAGTTTTTTGTTTGTTTGAAATTAAGATATATTTAAGTCAGCAAGGCGTGAAGCAATAAGGCTAAAAAAAAGAAGTGGATATGGCCAAAAATAAGTAGCAACTTTTTTGATAAACAATGAATCGTGTGAGTATTTTTCAAGCAGATTAGATCGACGTGTCATCATGGATGACCCTGATGGAGGCCACAGAAGCAGAAACTTCATACTTCAAGTGTTGCTGGAGCTTTTCTACCTCTTCAAGCCTTTCACTCTTCATGCACATAGGTAGTTGGTTAAGTTGTGCCAGAAAACCCCACTCTGCTTCTTCAGCGTTTTTCAGAAACACAAAATGTAGGTCTCAGCCTCTGAAACAGAAGTATCTGAGTATCTTTTACAGAGCTGACAAACCATTTAAAGACGTCATGTTAGGTCCTGGTATGTTTTTGTGGATTATTTTAGCCATTTGTGTGTACCTTTTTATTTTCTACTATGTTCTGTTAATTTGTGAATGAGCAAAGAAGAACAATCTGAATGATCCATTCTGTAATGTCGCTCACCTCCAGCAGGGGGCAGTCTTGCTCTGAGTCATTACAACTGGAGAGTGAGCTCAGGGCCTTTGCAGCAAGTGACCTGAAATGACAATAAAAATCCAAAACTTACAAAAAAGATTTCTTTCCACTGACATGTAGACATTAAAAAGGTGTACTGAACTTATTACAGATGCTGTTTCTTATATTGACGGGGTCAACCCTCTAAAATGTTCATGGCATCATAACATTGGCGCTGCTCTTTGATAAGTGCTTCACTCTGCACCATGCTTAACCTGGCACAAACATTCAGCTTAGTGTGAGCCTTGTTTCACTCAAGTCTTTGAGGAATTCCTCTTGTGTTACGTTCACATAAGCGAGGCTTTCACTGTGATTGGACTGATCTCAAACTCAGAGGGCTTAAAGGGGCTGGTAGAAAACATCAGATTCCTCCCTGTTAGCAGAGCGGCACACTGTGGTGAGTATCACCTTTTTATAAACTTATTTACTAACTTATTGTATTTTCAAACTTTGGTTTTAACGTTAAGTCGTTTGACAATTTCAGTATATTGACATCTGTTCTTATCTTAATATGAGGACTTCATCCAAGTTGTTAATCCAATCAACTTCTGAATGAGTGCCGAGCAGTCATAAGGAAGAGAACATTCCTGATTTGTAACTTTAAAAAACAAGAAAAGTGCTCCTTCTCCGGATGCACAAAGCCAAATAAATATACATTCAAAAGTGTTGCTAAAGTGTGCTGTCAGACGAGGTATAATCTTCTAAAATGAAAAATAAAATTCTGAAGAAAGTGCATTGGAGAAAAAGATTCTCTCTGACATGTTTTCTCTGTAGGTGGCCGGTGGAGCGGGTTCAGGGTCATGGCGACTGTGACTACGGTCCTGAAGGCGGTGAGCATGTTTGTTGCAGAGCTCATGAGCTCCTTCACAGACTGGTTCCAGACCAAACCAGCATGGGCTAACTTAGAGGTGCTGGAGGAGACAGAACTGAGGACCACTGGAGGAGGTGAGTCAGAAAACAGAGACAATGAACATGTAGAAATGGAGCAGTCTTTTCTGTATTGAATTCCCTGTATTGAGCAAATGAACACTTAAGAAGATGGTGAACACGAGACTGGTAAAAAAAAATAAAACAACCGGCAAACTCTTAACTGAAAAAATGTGATTGCATCTATAAATAGCCTTGACTGAAAAATATAAGACCGTCATGGATTTCTTCATACTCGCTGTCTTTTTTTTTTTTCAGTCCATGAGCGATACAAGGCCAAAACTCTGTGGGAGAAGACTGGAGCTGTGGTCATGGTTGTGCGGCGACCTGGGTGATTATTGTGCAGAGAGGTATGAGATAGCATGTCTCTGCATTTGTGAAAACTTCACCAAACTAGTTTTCTGCCATTCATGCATTTCTTTTCTTTGCTTCCCTCTCCAGGAGGCCACTGAGCTGTCCTCTCTGAAGTCCCAGCTGCAGGACCTTGAAGTCCCTCTGTTGGCTGTGGTGAAAGAAAACATCGGCAAGGAGCTGGACAACTTCAAGAAGTACTTCTCTGGGAAGGTTTACGTGGATCAGAAGGTCTGCCCTCCTACACTTGGCTTACAACAATTAAAAGAAACATGCAGGGTAACATAACATAACCTGCTTATATCGCCCTCATAGAAACATTTCTACGGCCCTCAACTGAGGTGGATGTGTTTCTCCATATTTCTGCGTATTGGCGTGTGGAGGAACATCTGGCAGGCCTACAGGAGGGGCTTCAGGGGTAACATAACAGGTGAAGGACTTGTCCTGGGTGGAGTCTTTGTCATCGGGCCAGGAGATCAGGTAGACTGCCACTTTAACAATGACTATTTTCTGAATGTTTCAAAAATGTTTGAAGAGTTCTGATTGTATTTTCTCCCCCCTTAAGGGTATTCTACTGGAGCACCGCGAGAAGGAGTTTGGGGATAAAGTTAACATGTTGGCAGTACTGACAACAGCCCGCAAAATGCAGGAAAACCTGGCAAGATAGACGTCAATGTGGGGAATGAAAGAACCGTTTGTTAGTATGGTGTTATGTAATGGTGGCTGCAGCACGTTTCAATTTCCATGTTCTGGTTTTTAACACAGGACTTTTATCTGCCCCCTCTAGCATAGCCTCCTACAATGTAATCTCATCATCCCCCTCCCCCTCCACATATTTCTGACTCAATTTCCTTTTGGCAATTATGTTTTGCAATTTCACAACAATGTAATTCAACATGTGCCACTTTAATTGTTCATTCACCGACTGTCTTCATATCTGGTCTTTGACTTGTGATGGTGTTTTGTGTGCTTTAATGACGACTTGTTTCTAAACTCTGATGAGAGGACAGATCTGATGCCAGCAGCACAAACACTCAGCACTTTAAACCAGAAGCCTCTTTTTGGCCTGACATGAGGGAGATTGAACCATTGGAGGGGGTAAAAAGTCATTTTTGTCTGTGCCATATATTAAAAAACAATAAACCATCCTACTGACAGAACATTATACCTGTCCGCTGTGTGTTCATTTCCCCCTGTTCTCCTCCTTCTTTTTGATATTCTGGTCAAAGTTTTAATCTTCCAAGCCTGTCATCTTGTTCGATTGGTTTCCCTGCTCGTTCGCTCGCTCGCCTAGTGCGCCTGCGCAGAGATCTGTTTTCAAAACACTTGTCCAGAGAGGCTCTTGCAGTCGCACCATTGATTCAGGTGAGTGTCCATTTTTTTTTTTTTTTTTTTTTTTTACTAATGCCTGTATTCATTTATTGTATTGTATTGATATCTCAGCTACAGCCTCTAAACCATCACACCTACTCCCACTAAACCCTGTTAGCTCCCTGCGCAGACTCAGTGGACTAAACCATTAGCAGAGGAGCTAAAGGCTCAACACGGCGATTAGTGACGAACTACAGTAACTTCGTGGGACTCTGCAAGAATGCATGCATTATATAATCCATCATCTCAGGCCTTAAAACCTCTAACACATCCCTTCTTTTTGCACCCAGTTACAGAGTTAAGTGTATCCTGTAAAGACAGCAATGTGATGATTACTCATTAACAGTCCAAGGTCATAATCTGCACAACATTAAGCGACTCTGCAGACCAAAGGTGCACACTGAAGGGGAGGTGACTTGTTAAGCTATTTTTCTGTTTCATTTTAACATGTAGGCTACGTGTCAGTATTGGAAGAAGTATTCAGAACATTTACTTAAAGGAAACATAGCAGTGTGTCGGTGTTAAACAAGTGAAATGTAAAAACACCGGCTTTCAGTAATCTGTTTTCTGCTGCAGAATAAACAGGAACAGGAGTTTCCCCTTTCACACACTTGATTAACTATAATAAAAAATGATAACAATTGCAATAAAAAGCAAATTGATTAAACGTAAAACCCATGTGGATTTGCTCTGCTCAGCTTTTCTTTAAGTAAAGTAAGCCACCTATCTTTACAAGCTTAACAAATAATGAATACAGTTTTTTGAGAGCTGGGTTACACATTTATAAGTAATGAGCTAAATTACCAAAAAGAATATTAGGGACAGACAGTTTCCTCCACACATCACCCAACTCATCAGCCCAACAAGATTCAAGATTCAAGATTTGTATTTGTCACATGCTCATACAGATGTGCAGTGAAATGTAAAGACTGTGCCATGTAATAACACTCAAATTACTAATACACATGTATACAGTCAAATAGAACATAATGTAAAATTTAAAAAATAATTATTTGAATATACAAAATATAAAATAGAATAATGTAAACAGTGTAAAGTGTCCAGGGTGTCAAAGTGCAATGTGCTGATTGGAAACACAACCTTCCCTTGATTTATTAGGTCACTTCATTAATATTATTATTTATATATATTAATATTAAGCAGGGTAAGTAGTAGGGCCGGGAATCTTTGGTGTCTCACGATTCTTCTTGTCATCTGTGGGACTTTCTGAATTTATTGTTGCTCTATTTGGCGTTCTACTGCGTTAAAGAGCTGGCCTCAGCACTCAGCAGGGAGTGACATATTAGCCCAAAAAGAAAATACAAAAAAAAAAATCCATTTTAGGAAGTTATGATTCGATTTTAAATCTCAGTTTTTACACAAATCGTTTTCCCCACCTCTAGTAAGTAGAGACAGCTGTTTTCATTGGACGCTCTACAGACGCAGTCATGGAAACCACAATCTTCCTGGTGTGTGTGCCAGGCGTTGACGTCTGTCTATTGGCTGCTGCAGTTTTTGCTTTTTTTTCCGCCCCCTCTGTCCTCCCAGTTATAAAATCTCAGAACAACAATGTATTTGAGTGATTCACTGTTTGAAACCGGATGAGCTCAATCTCAGGAGAAGAACGTGATTGTCCTCACATTTTCAAAACGGAGGGACAAGTTAGTATGCAACTTTTCTTACTTCTCAGCACATTCATTGGCTACTTCTGCAAATTAAGGGTTTTGGGTCTTGTGTCAAACCTCCAGGGTAGGTCATGTGTCTACTCATGTGAATTTCTCTTGTAGCTATGTTGCACTGAACTATGTGTTTGTGTTTTCAGCTGAATTTGTTGATGTGTTAACCACACACAAGACAGCTCAGGGTGCAAAAATAGGATGTTTGCTTGCACATAGAGAGCTGTTATACCGCAGTGGAAAATGTATTCCTCATGCATTTTAGTATGCTTTAAATGTTCAAATTCTGAGCATAAAGAGAACATTCTTTTGAACAAATGCAGAGTTCTAAAAAGCAACCGGAGTGTAATAGACATGGCTTGTATTGTCCTATTAAAGGTCTGCAGCTTTACCTTCCGTAGCAAAGACATTTCTTCATTTGTTTTCTTTCAGTGAAGTCTTGAGAGGGTTTATAGTCGGAGGGTCAGACCTTTTTTCCACGGCCCATCCAGATGCTGGCTCTGTCCAGGTGTTCTCCAGCTTTCAGGTGGAGACCATGTCTGCGCTGCTCTGCCCTCTCTGTGGGGAGCACTGCCATGAGCAGCCGGCCCTCCACCGCAGCCGGGTCCTTGTTCCTAAGAACCCCGACTGCTGCGTTTCATCAAAGCAAAGCCAAAGCCAGTCCTGACCCAAACAAGCCCGCTCAAGGCAAGGACATATTCGACCGCTGACACAGTTAGATGTTCTCTGCTGTAACCCAAACATAGAGCGTGTTGTTGTTGCATAGAGTAGCTTCAACCGTGACCTGTGCACCGCATTTCCCTTCCAAGATAAACTAGTGATTTGAAAACACTGATTAAATCTTCTAAGTACTCTTAATGAGTTTGTCAAGCAAAACAAACTGATTATATCCTCAGTTGAGATCATTTTCTGGTTTTGACCACCTATTAGAGTCAGAATCTTTGGATTTTAGCATCATTATTGATCAAAGATTTACATTTGGGAATGTTACTTTGGGCTCTTGCAAGCTGTTATATTTCTTGGGACATTTTTAGACCACACACCTTTTTAAGTGTTTAAGATATATTTTTTTAAATATAATGACCGTTTACTAGTTGCTTTGCATTTAGCTGCATGGCTCGTGAAGAAATCAACTATTATAACATGAGTGAACACACAAACGTAACTTCACACTGAAAGGTTTAGCTGTCCAAGAGTGGCTCATATAGAAACCCTTCAGTGGCACAACAAACTTGGGTCATCTTGTCATGATGAGCTGCGTCTCATCTCTTAAGGAAGTATGTGAGCTATTTAATCTCATGGATGGGAATCAGATGAGTGTAAAAGTGAGAAGAAGGTTTGCTGGTGAAAAGCACGGCACCAACAGACTTTATAGCACTTTGTTCCTCATTCCTAAAAAAGAAAACCTGAGTCATGCTGTTTTCTTGGATTCAGGGAGTTTAAGTCTCTCTGTGTCAGAGATAACATTGAAAGAAAAAGTGATTCACAGTGTAAAATGGGAATAATACCTCCCCTCTGCACATTTATCAGCTCAGCGTTGATCAGTAATGCGTGAAAGAGAACTGCATCATAAAACTGAACAAGAAAGACGGTTTATTTTTCATTGTGATAATAGTGCAACTCTTCTCCCCTCATTTTGTTTGTTGCCTCTCTGTGCGGCAGTGCTGTCCTCCGGGTCCGGGCTGGAGTGGGAGCTGTTTGGGATGGGAATGTGGTCATTGGGTCTGGGTGCTGTTGGAGCTGCATTAGCCGGGATCTTTCTGGCCAACACCGATCTGTGTCTGTCTAAAGCATCTAACGCAACGCTGGAGTACCTTGAAGGGGCTGACCTGCGCTCCACCGTAGTGGGTGAGTAAGCTTTCTGATTGGCTGTTTTTATAATGTCACAAACAAACCAACAAGCCTGCTTGTTTTTTTACTCCCTCTGATGCTAATGAGAATAAGAATTAACATTACATAGGCCATTTGCAGGTTTCTGCTCTGTTTCACTGTTGCATGTTTGTATGCATTGTTCACACAGTGAAAGAGGTGTTGTGTGACATTTAAGGCAAAGCTGCTTTCTTCAATCTGCTGGTATTCCAGATTAGATCACTGTGAAGGTCTTTGTCTGTAGCTTGAAGGCCGTTACTGAGTTATTTTAAAACATATTCAGCTTATTCATGCTCCATGAATGTAAACTTTTTATTTTTTTTATTTGTAAGCTGCATATTTCATCTTCAAATCTGGGGTTTTTAAATTCTTGCATGATGCAGTCGTAAAATACATGAAACCTCGTGATGACCTTTTATCAGGAATATGTCAGGTGGAGGTTTGTTGTTTAAAAGACAGTTTCTTCTTCTTTTGTCTGCAGATGGCGAGGTCATCAAAGCAAAGAGCCTGTGGGACAAGAACGGGGCTGTGGTCATGGCCGTACGGCGGCCCGGATGATTTTTGTGCAGAGAGGTGATGTAGAGTCGCGTTATGACTCAAGAGATGAAATCTAAAGAGAGTTGTGGGTAATACATTCCCTGATGGTCTATCTGCCTCTGTCCATAGGAGGCCTCTGAGCTGTCCTCTCTGAAGCCCCTGCTGGAAGAGCTCGGGGTCCCTCTGGTCGCTGTGGTGAAGGAGAACGTCGGCACAGAGATCCAGGACTTCAGACCGCACTTCGCTGGGGACATTTACATCGATGAAGAGGTTAGCTGTGTTAGAGGCAGATAAACCTCACGTCTCAAACTGCCAAACTGTCTCAAACAGTGAATGTGTTATCAGACATGCCGTTTAGATTTCTTTTTCAATGCCTCTGCAGAATTTAGATTTAATTTGATTGATTTATCAGTCTTTATTTCGTTGCTGAAGCTGGCAGATTCAAAAAGCCTGTTGTTTTTGTCTCACCAAGAGAATCTAAAGGATTTGTTTCTTTTAGTTTTTATTTTATATGAAAGGTACGGCGCCCCTGAAGTCTCAAAAAGTAAAACCGGTCTCCTTAGTTGATGCAACAGAGAGGTAAACATGACCCTGTCCTAACTTATTTGAAACGGTTTCTAGCATCAGATTAAAATTAGGCATATCATTTTCCAAATCAATTCACGTTCTCAGTTTCAACATTTGATGTGTTGAGTTTTTAAAATCATCACATTTTTATTTTCATTCACAGGAAATGTGGTTGTGGTTTAAGAGTTGAACTCCTCTTTCATTTATGGGCTACATACTGTATAGGACCATTACAGTGAGAACTTTGGTATTTCCATCTGTTATCGTGTCCTTTTATGGGTTAGGCTCAATAATGAGTCTACAGTAATCATTGTGCTGTACTGTATGAGAGTGAAGGAGGTGACAAAGCTTTAGTCAGACATTCATTAAACAGGTTAAAGCAATGTAATCTCATCCTTTCCTGCATGTTGCTCAGACTCGATCTTAATTGTGATTGTAGAAACGCTTTTACGGCCCGCTGCAGAGGAGGATGGGGGGTCTGGGTTTCATTCGCCTCGGAGTGTGGCAGAACTTCATGCGGGCCTGGAGGTCGGGTTACCAGGGCAACATGAACGGCGAAGGGTTCATCTTGGGGGGAGTTTTTGTCATTGGAGCAGGAGAGCAGGTAAGGGAGCTTTCCTTTGGGCTTCACAAAAGCTTTCGATATAAAACATCGCGCTTATTTAACCTCGTGTTGTGTGTTTGCAGGGGATTCTCCTGGAACACCGAGAGAAGGAGTTCGGCAACAAGGTGGACAATGCAGACGTGTCCGAGGCTGTTAAGAAAATAGTGGCAGTGAAATAAGTTTAACTTCATTTAAGCAGATGGCATTAGAATAAAGAGAAGGGTTGCTGTATGTAGAGAAATCAAGTATTAACAAATATGTTTTAACTTTACAGAATTGTCAAAGTTCTTCCATCACTGACATGATATTTAAGCGTACTTTCACATGATTGTCTTTTACACATTAATTTAACGTTGGTTACTAAAGTCAAGCTGTGAATTGAAGAACAGAGGGGTTCCTCAGGGTTTGTCCTCGTGACCTCTGCAGACACCATAGAGCTAGTGTCTCTGAGATGGGTATTATAATCAGATAGCCAGGGGCTTCAAAGAAGCATTTTCATTCAGGTACATCAACTATTAAAGGGGTCATATTATTAGGCACATCTATGTGCAGAAATTCAAAGTCCGCGGAAACGCAGCTTCTCCCACGTCCTCTGTTAGCTGCAGCATTAGCCGCATGTAACTCTCGGTTCTAGCCCCCCTCGAAAAAAAATTGTCAGTGTGATGTCTTGTCAGTGTGATATCACTGATCTAAGCCCATTGGCTCATTGTGGCACGCCCATTAACTTCTGTTGCACGCCCACGATATGCCGTAGCCTGCGGTAGCACAGTAGTGCTAAGGTGCTAATGTTTTTGCTCCCCTCGGAGCCAAAGTGGCTGCATTCCCAATATGGTAAAAGGGGTGGGACATTTCTGAGAACAGTGCTGAGCGACTGACCAATTAGGGCAGAGCCGACAGGCCGATCAATCAGATCAGACTTGGCACACGTAGGGACTCTGAACGTGGGCACTTCAGAGCAAAGAGTCAGAAGCGAGCCGGTGCACGGAGCGGCAGTACATGAAAACAGACGCTTTTTTCAAACTTTACCTATTTTGAACATACTTCAGTAGGTACATAGATTAAATATATGAACCCCAAAAAGGGCAGAATATGACCTCTTTAACTTAACATCACTTGAAATGTGTCGTTTAGAGACCTTTATTAGTCAGGCTAAAGACTAGGTTAAATATTGGATGAATTATTCTTTAAATCTTGACAGAAATTTATTTATAATAATGGTCCTGTGTGTTATTTCTGTTTGCTTCTCCTGGTTCGGCTCTGCAATAAGCTTTCAACATGGCAGACGTGCGTGTGTGATCTGTGTGTGTTTACAATGACAACCTGACTCTAAACTCGACAGTGAGAGGAGGGGGTTTGATGCTCAAACACATCCAGGCCTCAGATGCTGTCGCCATGTTTGGGAGTGTTTGCGGCGCCTGAAACGGGCGTGGCTTGCATGTGTGTTAACTTGTGTTAGAGTTAGAAGAAAAAAAAAAAGTGCATTCCTACACTTGTGAAGCAATAAATAAAGAACACCTCATCACCAGTTCTTCTGTGTGTTTCTTTCTAGGAATCATGTGTTTGTTTAAGAAAGGGGGCGGCAGTAGCTCAGTTTGTAGGGACTTGGGTTAGGAACCAGAGGGTAGCTGGAGACTTCCCTAGTACTGTCGAAATGCCCCCTAACAAAGGAACCCTAACACTCTGCTACACAGCCCCTCTCTGACATCTCCACCTCCACAGGTGGTATTTTGGGGCCTATTTTAATTGTAAAAGTATGTAAAATAAAAGACACTTAAACAGAAACAGAAGCTTCTTCACCAGCTGCAGTATCTCAGCCTGTAGGGACTTGGGTTGGGAACCAGAGGGTCGCCGGTTCCAGTCCCGGTACTGCAGTATGCAGAGCTGCAGCCCCACTCTGACATCTCTCTTTAAAGTATATCCATCCATAGGTCCTGTCTGTGCATGTGTTTGTATTTGTGTGTGAGTAGCATGTCTCTGTTACTTCAAACTAAAAATGAGCAAAAACATGATGTTATAATCCATAGACTGAATAAAACATTATATTCTAGTCAATAAATCTCCCTATTTCTTCAAGTTTCACAGCATCACAGCCTCATGTCAAAGCTATCTATGTGCCATCAGTGAAAACTGGGTCCAAACATGTCAGGAAACATTCCCCTCGTATCATGTTCAAATCAGTAATCCTCTAAGTTATTTTATCCCTACACTTCTAAATGAAGACGACCCACTTACATTAGAGCCGCTGTCTAAGTATGACATGTTTGTTTTCAAGCTGGGATGATCTCTTTGTGTGGGATTGTTGCTGAAACAAATTGTACTTAGCAACAGTCAGATGGCTTTCATTTGATCTGATTGCTTCCTGCTTTCCTGAGTGTTGATCAAACAAGCCTTTATCATCTCATGTCACTCGGTTTGTTTGTTACTGTGGTATTCAGTTGTTTAGGCGAATATTTGGCCCGTCCCCAGGGGCAGGATGTGAAATCTTTATGCAAATTCAAAAACACACATGAAATTAAGCAGAGAGGTGTGGACATTACTGTTACATCTTTTATTCTATTGCTCAGAGTAAAATACATTTCACATCAAGGAAATATATTTCAACACAATACAAAATAAAGGGAGGACACACAGTGCACCAATACTGACTGAATGTTTGTATAATATGAAATAATAGAAACATTCATGGTGTGGTAACACAAAACAGATTGTCTTCTACATTTGTGCCCTTCAGTTTGCAAAGATTTAACCTTGAAAATCACCAAAAATCCTCTGTTGTAAAGTGAAGTCAGGGTCAACTCTTAACTTGAGATTTGATTTCAAACTTCATAAAATCAAAGAAATGTGACCTTGATGGGATGTTGTTAATACTTTTGGTGTTCTGTTGAGTGTTGAACTTACAAAGGTCAAAGCCCACTTCAGTAAAAACAATGTTTCGGCATGAAAAAAAAGTGGCAAAGGTCCATTTGCTAAAGCTGAAACAAAAAGCTAGACACTTCTTCTCCTCAGTCCTTACAAATCATACCCGTCTCGTCTTTGGCTAGATCTATGGGTGTGACATGTAAAGGTGGATCAGTACAGTCACACGCTGAAATACATGTTCATCGTAAATGTTTTGACAAGCTGACTTAAAAACCCTCCAGTTTTTGTTCTTGAAACTTTTGCACAATCATTCCAGGAGCATAGAAACACAAAGGGAATCAAAGCAAGAGAAAATCAACGTGCAAGCATTAAAAGCTGCCAGACAATGAATGAATAACATCTCAGCAGAATAATGGTTATAATCCATTCAACGTTATCCAGCACAACAAACAAATACAATCTTCAGTACACAATTGAAAAGTTCTTTTTTAAAAAGCAACACAAGTCTAAAGTCCTACAGCAGCACAGCAAAGGTTAGATAGTGCAGTTTGAGCATCAGCAGGAAAACACCCCGACACAACATGATAACAGGCTAGGGGGGAAAAAAAAAAAAGAAGGAGTGAGACAGTTGACAGGTGGTTAAGTGTTGATATGAAAGATTTAAAGAGCAGCTCAATGAGCAGTTTCATTCCAAAATGAGACATCCACTTATCTTTAAAAAGAAGACTGTCATTCTCACAAAGAGTCGTATCAAGGCATTGCTTTAGGATTGAGACTTTGTTATAGGTTGTTACATTTTTTTTTTTTTTTAAAGATGATCTGGAGAGCACTTTGGAATAAAACCTTTCATTTTGAGGGTTGCATATAGACACAATCCTTGTACATTTCTGTCTGTAAAGAAGTTGATTCATAAAAATGATTGTGCAGCTGCTACAGTCCCTTAACACACTCGATGGGATCACTTTCAATGAATGATTGAACATCAAATTTAGAAAAAAATATATATATAACCTGAAATGACCACAGGTGCTTGATGGGTATTCATTTTAAAATCTACAATAGTTTTTTTTTTTTTTACCAACATACACATCCATTTACACAAACACCGAGTTATACTTGCTAATCTGTGAAGGTGCTCTCTGTTTCAAGTTTTGTCCGATAAGAAATCATGCTCCTCTAATCTGAGAATGTATCAATCCTGAAGGAAGAGGTGATCTCATCCTCATGACATTTCTCTCTGATGCATACGAGGGGCCATCAGGTGGAGTCATTTATTAGTTAAAAGTTCCTTATGCATACGTGTTCCAAATATGTGACATCATACATACATCTTATATATTTATAAATATATCCATGAAAAATATAACTATTCTTATATCGTCTAGACACACGGCTGATATTTCCTCACGTACACCATCAACAAACATTGAACCAGACTGGACAGTTGTGTGCTTTGAGAGCTTCGTTAGCAATGTGAGTGAGTTTGATCAGAGAAGCTACACCCCAGGCAAAACTGTCCACTGTTACTGAAGCAACAACAACACCACAGTACCCCACTGCCCAGACCTTACAAACAAGAACATCATTGTATCACGCAACATGTGCTACTTTCATTTGGTACAATCAGAAATCAGCAACTGCAGCACACACAGAGTTTAGCAGAAGACTAGCTGGCTGTTTGACAAAACCCTGCATCTCCACCTTAAAGGAGCTGAAATGATCCAGCTTTGACCTGATTCAGCCTGCTCATGCAATCCATCCGACACAGCGTGTGCAAAGTTACCATGTGACACCAGCAATAAAACTGTTGTCCGCACTCTGCGTGTCACTGTTTTGGAAACACACAACTAGCCAAGCTGAGGGAGTTAAAGACCAGACCGAAGTCGTTCTCTTAACAACATCTAGACACAGCACAGTATAGTATATTCTTCCACCAGACACAACCACTAAACAAACACTACCACCTACAACAATCAAAGAATTCCATTAATACGCAGCTTATAATAGTGAGTGCAATGGTGACTAAAGTGATCTCAAGTGATGAAACGCCTTGACAAACAGGCTGCCGCTGCCATAGCATGACAGTACATATCTAAGTTTACAGAATTCACACTCACTAGGGTTCACTGGTTTACCATATGGCTTTGCTTGATGAGCTTTTGCAGGGTCAGTTCTGCGTGTTTTCTTAACCGAGCACGTCATTACTCGGTCTTTTATATATGAAGGGCATAAGTACACTTCAAGGAGAATCGGTGAGTGTAAGTAGCTGCAACAGTTAACAAGGAGGACAACATAAGAGGATGCTATTCATCAGGGTTGGGACTATTTAGAGTTATTAATATGCTGGTTTTTCCAGTATAGCCACCAGCTGGAATTATACATGGTGGAAAATAATCAGGCTTAACATACTACAGACAGAGTGTAACAGCTTAAAATATTACTTATACAATCAGAAAAATGCATCAAAAACCAGACAAGAAAAGGAAAACCAAGTGAGAAAACAGAAGGCCAAAAACATGTTACATTCAGAAGTGATAACACACACACGAGCACAAGCCTTCATTTTAAACTGGAGTTACAAATGAGTCATCAGAGGACTTAAAACCTGCATGAACCTGAACGCAACATGAAATAAAGGTATATGGACACATAAATCAGTAACATCACTGGCCGCCGCCTTGTGGGCAGTTTTGACCAAAGGAAGACAGAAAACACACCACGACACATTAAAAAACGTCAGGGGTCAGTTGTATTTCTAAGGAGTACACGAATGTACAGTAAAAAGCTGTCAGTGATGTTCCTTCTCAGAGTGTTTTTTGTTTTGTTTTCCCCTCCGTGAATCCTCTTCTTCAAATTGTCAGACAATCAACGCCCTACACTGTAAAAACTTGGAGCAGCTTCGGGCAGTCAAATTCAAAAAAACAAACGCAGCAGTACATGTAACAACAAAATATGCATACATAATTATGATTTGCTCTCACACAATCAAACAGACACTGTGTATATGTGTATGAGTGTCTGTCTGGCGTGTGTGTATGTGTATGGAGATGTGTTTGCGGGTCCTACAGGCCCTTGTTGAAGTAGACCTTGGTGGTCTCGGGACTGGCCTTTCGTATCCTCTCCTGCAGATCTGCTTCCAGGCCGCTCACGCTCATGGAGCTACGAAAAAAGATTGTGATCACGATTAAATAACCGGGAAAACGTCTGATAACACTTCACATGCATGTTTAATTTCCCCTATAGAGAGAGCAGGTCGAGCTGTTGGTACCTTTTCTGTGGGAACAGGGCGCAGCACAAAGGAGTGGCAAACACCAGGCTGAAAACAAAAGAGAGGGGAGGGTCTTAGACGTTGTCTAATGTTCTTTATTCAAGTTAAAGTACTGGCAAGTCTACTTAAAAAGCAACACTGATAAAAAAAAATCAATAACTTACCAAAGGCCGACAAGTCCCACTTGAACTGGAGCATTGAGAAGTGGGAATCGCTGCGAAATCACAAAAGAAAAATCAGAAATTTAACATTTTTTCTGCAACAGTTGAGCAATCAATCAATGAATGCAACTGTTTTGTTTTCAGCCTCAGACCCAGTCAGTTCCCTAACCAGCCAAACAACAGTGTGACAGTGATGCAAGCAGTCTGCTTACCTTCATGAAAGCTCTTTTCTCCAGAGCATTCATGATAACAGGGGGGATAGCTGTAACAAAGAAAGACAAGTCAGGTGTGGTCAGTCCTCAAATACCTCCAGTGTGCGTCTTAAAGAGACGGTGAAATTCTTTTCTGTCTTGTAACATCAACATCAACTGTTACGAGGTAACAGGAGGAGACGGGATGATAAGTGGAATAATGCTGCCTCGTTTAAACCAAAGCTGATTAATCGGGATAATAACTGCTGAATGAATAAAAGGTCCTTGTTGTGTTGTCGCTTATATCAAATTAATTTAGGGCCAAAAAAAGACTGACTTTGTGTAATAATTTAAAAAAAACATCTGAATTAGGATTTAAGCTCCACAAAGCACAGTATCAATGCAGTTGAAGATGACGAATTTGTTAGAAAACAAAACACTTTCATATCATCTTTCAGGTTCAAATGGATTACAGAGCTAAATTATCATTTTCTTGAAGTCATCAATCTGTTTTAATCTCACCATCCTTCTAAACCAGCCATTCACTTACTGTGTACAAAGAGCTTTAAAATGTTTTTTTAAAGAAAACTATCCACTATGGCCACTTCAAAAAGCTGACATCATTTCAGAATTACCCATTGCTGGCACCGCCATGCCGATCCTCGACACCACCACCTGTATGATCGCCTGTTTGGCAGCATTGGCTGACTCTCCCAACCTGTTTCCGTTCTCATCTGTCACCGGGATACCGTACTTCAACTCCCTGGAATAAGGGAGAATTGTTGCAGTGGTTTACTACACAGTTTGTACAAGCTCGGGGGGGAACTAAACAAAAGTGATTTGCTTTTCATCGGGTTTTCTCACCTCTGTCTCATGAAGGGAATGTTGATACAGTTAGCAGCAGCGACAGCAGCAAAAGGGACGAACCGGCTGGCGATTGGAGGAAGACGCTGCAGAGATCGGACAGAATCAGGGACACATTTAGACACAAGATTTTCTCTGCAGAACAGAGTTTCTGTATCTGGGATATCTTTTTTTTTTTTTTTAACTTGGACTGATAATTCATTTGATCAGCAGGCATTACCGCAGCTAGAGACTTGAGTCCCAGGGCTGTGACCACAGCTCCTGTAGTGGCACTGACGTAGGCGACACCCAGCTGACTGCAAAGGGACAGTTGCATGAGACACATTTCACACAATGTACCCACATCCTTTTTCTAAATGTTCTCACCTATTATAATTAGCTGACCTTTTCTACAGAACATAAAAAACTGTGCCTGCAAATTTAACAGTTACACCAACATGAGACATTTCAAAGTAGAGCTACCACAGTGAACAGCACGAATGCATGCTATGTGCAAAGGTGAAGAACAGGAAGAACATCCTAACACATTAATATATGTCATATGTCATCCTCATTGACATGCTCGATCAACAACTCCCTTATTTTTATATTCTCTGAAAGCAGCCTTCTTATTCTTCAACAACTCTGCATGCAACTAATGCATTTTGTGGAATGAAAGAGTTTGCAGAAGCATGTGAACCTGACATTTAACTGGGGGGCTATGTCAGCATGAGTGCATGGTGACATGGAGCTGAGCATGCTTAACAGTGGAACAGAATACCGCTGTGAGGGAAGGGGAAAGGACAGCAGCTCCCACAGCCTCCTTACAGACACTATCTTAGAGGAAGGACAGGAATGATCTAGAGTGGGGGTGGAAGTGAGAAGTCCTTCCTACTTCACGGTCATGGGGGCATCTCCACTGCGATTGGTGTAGTTGACGACAGCGTTGAAGGACTGGTTAACCCACTGCCAGAACACCACTGCCGGCGTAGTCCTGCAAGTGTATGATACAAAAATAAAAATTATGGCACTGCTGGAAAAAGGTTTGCTGACTATTTTAAAACTGTTAACACGTCGACTGAAAATACTCCAGTTGCATTCAATCATAAAATCAATAGAAAACATTCAGGATGAAGCACTCTTAAATATATCCTTGATCATATCTGATTTAATCAGTGATTTGCATCGTCAGTCAACCCACAGGTTTTGCTTTTGCTGGTTTGCACAAGTGAAACATTAAGACATCTGTTTGTCAAGCGTATTTGTAAACCACAAAACCACTCGTGACTGGAGCCGTTCTCTGCTGTAAGTGTGGATGTTTATCAACTTGACAAGCTTAGTCCCACAGGACAACTCAGGTCACAAGTTTTTGTATTCAGCGGTCCAGCAAATATCTATTTTGCTGTTAATCTGTAGAGAATAATTGTATTTTGTCCCCTCAGGATTTAATAGTCATTTTAAGTAAACCTGTCTCTCTGGATTGTTTTTTTAAACTCTGTACAGATGAAACCACGAAGGTTTTCATACTCTTTTCATAAAACTAATTATTTTATATCTTACCTTACTTTTATGCTTGTTGTCACCTTGTGTCAATATTTACAGAAAACATTTGTAAAATTGGAAAAGTCATACTTTAGCACCCACTAGTGGTGGTTTGCTGAAATGACAGCAGTTGCAAGTGAGTGCCATCCCCACTTATCACTATCACCAGATATATGACCAATATGCAAATGAAGACACTGAAATTAGAAATTGAGAATTAATTGCTATATATTCTTAGAGTTGATTGAATGTTTAGTTGTTCCTTAAGCATAAATATCAAACATTTGCTGTCTCCAGCTAACTGATGAGTGATATTTTTTTTTCTTTAAGAGGATTTTCAGTCTGTGCAGGGATTAAACTATTTTTATTCAGCGCTGTATCCTGTACTGAGGTTTAAATCAATCACACAGAAACTATCTCGCATCCATTGAGTATGTTGGCTGACATATATATTATATATATTTATACAATTTTTATGATTTCTTACTGGGCTTTTGCCTTTTTATTAAATGGGACAGGGGTTAGTTGGATGTTTTGACATGTGGGAAAGAAGCCACAGGTCGGACTTGAACCTGGGCCGCCAGCTTGCAGGACTTTAGCCTCGGTTTATTGGCACGACCAAACCGCTAGGCCATCTTTGCTGACCCAGACAACATACCGTATTTTATATATGATCTATGTTGTGATTAAGCAGAAGCAATAGTCATACACATTGTTTAATGAAGTGAAGCTTCTTGTCATGTTTACCTGTAGAAGGTGAGCATGCAGCCTGTGATGGACATGTTCATTGGCACCTGGGCAGACATCCGGCCAATCACAAACATCTTCTCCCCTGTGTCTGGGTGGAAGGCGGAGTCGTAGACGTACTTGGCCTTCCAGAGCTCATCCTCTGTCAAACCTGGCTTCACAATCCCGGCTCTGAAAAAGTCAGAGTGGAGTGATGTGGTCATTTATACATAAGTGGAAGCAGGAGCAGAACACGCAGACTTTATTCTTTCAGGTTTGAACACAAATTTGAAAAACAAACTGATAAAAAAGAAAAAGGAAAAAAAGGAATAACTAACATCTCTGATATGTTTTCTCACTTGTTTGAGAAACACATTTAGCCACTCAAAGCACCATTGTTGTTGTTTTTTTGGTGGTGATGCTACCTGGTTACAACAATTCTTAAATCTACTTCTACGCCTCACAGGACTACATACTCCAAAAACACTCTCATTTTTGACATTGTGTGTGATATGCCGAAATCCTCCTCCATCATCTTATTTCCAGACCATCTACCTGTAGTTCTCCACGATTACTCGGGCCTCGTCCAAAGATTCAGAGGACAGCAGGACGGTCCTGGGATCTGTGACCATGAAGAAATGCTGGGCGCGCCCCATGAACGTGCCTTGATCCCATCTTGGCTCCTTGATATTGATGTTGCGGGACAACTCTGCAGACATCCTGCCTTTCTATGATGAACAGAGAACGTACAAATATCACAACTGTTCAGTCCACGTACCTACTTGCTTTAAGATCTTTTTTAAAGTAACAGACATTGAATATCACTCAATGGCTGATCAGAAAAAATAAACCAATAATCTGGCCAGCCATTCGATGGGGAGGTTTTCAAAACTTTTCTCCAATGTAACATTTTTTAAGGTTATCAAACAGGGTTTTGTAATACAGTCAGAAAATGTTCATGATTATAAAACCCTCCGATGCACAGTTAAGCCTCCACCTCTGCTCCATTAATAGACCTACTGCAGTAGAGCGCTGCATTGAGGGGAAGCCCCCCCTCCCCCAACATTGATGTGCAGACAACAGTACAAAACAGAGACAAAAACACAGCCTAGATGATGGCATTACCTTTCAATAGCTTGCGTATATAAAACTCACTGCAAAATGATAAGGAATTTTAGTTTGTTGCTCTCACGGTGTCAAATTCAAAGTTTGCCGTGGGGTCTTTGAAAGCATGGCGAACATGATCATAACAGGCATGTTTCAGTGGCTGTGTACAAAACATAAAGTAACTTTAGAGGAAAAACTGGGCTTGAAATGAAGGTCAGTGTTTGGGCTGTTTGTACCCTGATAACGGGAACAACAAAGTACAATGTATCTCTAGTGAATTATTTTACTTTTATGTTGGAAAAATACTCAGTACACCTGTAACAACAGTTGATTAAACAATCTAAGGACAACAATTCCCCTTGTATTTTGTCATTATTTCAATCATTTTTCAGGGGAAATTGCAAACATTTGCTTCTTCAATCTTCTTAAAAGTAAGGGTTTGTTGGTCATTCATGATAGTTGATGAAGATTTTTTGGGTTTTCACTTGTTATTTGGAAAAAACTGGGAAAAAGATCTGCAGAGTCCCTCTGCACCTTTAAGGAAAAGCTAAAGACCCAACTCTTTCATGAATACCTACTAACTTAATGATGATGGTTTCGATATCATTGATGATGATGGTTGTGACGATGGTTTTTGTTTGATAACGACGACTTATAAGATGGTTTCTATACTGATTAGAGCTCTCAAGAACTGCCCTCAATGTTGTGCTTTGCCTCTGGTCACTTCCTGTCAGCACCTGTGTGTCCAATCAGACTCAAAGCTGGTCGTTTGCTCTTACTGACATTGTTCCCTTTTTTTCTTACCACACTTCTTGTGTTGTACTTACTCTCTGATGTACGTCACTTTGGATAAAAGCGTCTGCTAAGTGAATTGTAGAATTGTTAAATTGTAGAAGTAATGAGCATTATTGATTAGCAATATTTGTGGGTTAGATCATTACTCTTAAAAAATACTTGGCAGAGACTGATCTACATTGAAATAAAAACCTATAAGATTACAGTTCTCACTCCTAGGCCCATGGAGACGACCTGAAATAGCTTTTTATTATTACACACAAAGACATTCAATTAACACTGTAAATCATCATTTCTGAGGATCTTGGACAAGATAATAAGACATTTATACTCGGAAAATTAAAAAAAAGTAAAAGTTACCAATTACTCTTCAACTCTATACCTCTAAATATCCCCCTATAGGCACAGGTGACACTCAGGTATCTGGATATACTTCACCATTTCAACAATGAGTTTGAGTCTTTACGTAGCAGCAATTCTAACATGCTTAGGTCATAACAAGGCCATAAACACCTCTAGTAATATCTGTAGGATGGAAACTTGCCTCGACCACCAACAAGGACAGAACAGCTGATTCTGAGAAGTCAATGACGCGAATGCTGCATCACAAAAAAACAAAGATCTGATTGTTATTTTAGATCATTTTTAGCTTTCTAAGTCTTAACCTCACACTACTGTGCTGCTGCCACGTTGAAAGTAGTGGCTCGAAGAAATAGCGTGACATCCCACAGTGACAGATGGGACCCGGGATGTCACGACACGATGCCGGTTCCTGTCAGCGAGACTCCCGCTAACGAAGTGCAGCTAACGAGCTAGCAAGGTAGTTCACAAACCAGCTTAACCATCGTGCTAGCTCTTTGCGTAGGGTCGCTAAGGGCTCGTTTTGAGTCGGGGTAAGCGTGAACGTAAAGTTGGGTTTGTGGTAAACTTGTTAAAGGTTAGAAATTCAGTCAACACTTAGACGTACCTTGTTCGTTTTCTTTGTATTTGAAAATGTATGACCTCTCAATATCACAGCACCACCGGGTGGACTTTTTGCTGCCTTCAGGTACTCTCGGGTGTATCGAAAAGCACAACTTCATCACAAACAGTTGTAGCGAAAAACGAAAACAAGCGTATTATTTTCTGTTATACTATACTATAACTGTACTATACACTATGTATATATAAAATATAGCAAACTAAGGCCGTTTATTCGACCATACAGTTAATTCTTGAGACGTTTTTCCAGAAATTACATGTTATAATCAGAAACATTCACAGTGACGTTAATTCTGTAAAGGCATGGTGGTCAGCGTTACTTACCAATTAGCTGAAATAAGCAAAACAACATTTTATTTCACCTTACTTTAATTAGAAAATTGTTTGGAGATAAATTGATCAAGCTCTGTAAATTCACAGAAGATGAAGCTTATAAGTCGAAGTTTCACAGACGCCTTTGAAAGCAGCACTACCGTATGACACACTGTGGGCGGTGTTTGTCATGGAAGATATGAGTATTAGGAAAGCCTTGGGCGTGGGAGGTAGAAATAACATGATTGGTTTAAAAAAGAAAAAGACTGGGGCTCTAAAATTTCATGGATACGTCTACCAAACTTGATTTTTGCGCTCAGTAGAACTTCTGTCTCTCCTTACTCCTCCCGACCAGCTACTATCCTACATCTGGCAGCAGCTGGATTTTTCAAAGTGTGTGGTGTTTGTGTTGAGATGGTTCTTCATCTTCTCCAACTGGCCTCCCCCCCCAGCGTTTGTGCTGTGAAATGGTTTCTCCTCTCTGGGAATTCTTAAAAAGTAGGCCTATCCAAATCCTGCAGACTAGGCCAGGCTTTTTTTTGACAGAGTGATAAGTAATTAATCACTTTTCACTGGGCTGTGACTCCAGTGATTTGACCCATGTGGTATGGTGGCTGGCTGGTTTGAAAGGTAGCTCTGTAGAAACCCTTCTCTCTTCTCTCTTGACTCCAAAGGTGAGATTCCACTTTTGCAGGAGTTTTCTAGTGTTGAATATTCAAAGCCATAACATGTAGGACAGCCTAAGGACAGACTGGAAGGGCACACTAGAGGGCACTTTTAAAGCTTTTTTTTTTTTTTTACATGGTGACACAGAACATCAGTATCTCAATGTTCAGTAACATACAGAACAACGCTGGAATGGAATTCACTCCCAAGTAATGTTAAACAACAAAGCACTATATACAGTTTTAAAAAATGTCTTAAAGAACATTATATACGGAGAAACTTTAGTCAGTACTGATGGGAGAGGACTACTGGGCCATGTAGGACTACGTAACCATGTTACGTCTTAGATGCTGTAAATCAGACAGAGCCTTTGTGTTTGTCTATTTCTTTTGTTCATTTATGTCAATTGTCTATTATTTTTAGTTATTGAAGAAATGTTGTGGAATGTTTGTGTAGTGTGAAAAGAATAATATATAATATGAATTGTAAATCTACAGACACTGAGGACTGCATAACAATAGGATAGGATACTACAAACGTCGGCATCCTCCTGGTAATAGAAGATGAGGTCGTCCTGGAGGATCAGATCATTCAGCATGGCATAAAGGACTATTTGCATGGTAGCTACGCTCATGGGTCTGCTGTATGCAATTGCATTGACTACTAAAAGGAAGTGCAGTATACATTTAAAGTCATACAGAAGAACCTAATGTAGGCTATATCGGTGGTGACCTCTGCCCCCTGCAAAGGTCCATGGACTGAGAAAAATACTTCTTTGAAAAGCTGTGTAGGCACACTGAGGTCGGGAGTTTTCTGAAAGCTGCCACGAAATATTTGGACATTGTCTCAGATCTTTTCTGAAGTGTTTGTTTTACCATAATAAGATCACCTCATGAAATGTGTAAGTTATTGATTTTATAGGTTTATTGAATCTGAAAATGCTGAGAAAAGTGACCAATAAATGGTAAATGCAGCAAAAGAAAGAGAACTGTTTTTTGCACATTCTTGGGTGGAAATGTTTTTTCCAAGTCAGCACAGTATTTGAGGTAAAAACATTTGTAAATGTTTAGAAGTTCTGTTTGATCCGATCTGCTATTAAAGTTTGAAGAACTAAAGTTGGTTGGTTTCTATGATAAAACGAATAACCTGTAGAGATGATAACTTTTTTTAATTGTTATTTGAAAGGAAGTTGAAAGTTTCCACAAAAGCAAAGAGAATCACTAAAAATGTATAAACTAAACTGATTTAAGTTGAGTAAAACAGAAATATATATATATATATTCATTTTCACTCAATATTTTAGGTGGATTCAACTTTTGATAAAGTATTTCTAATTTTTGATTTCAAGTAAAAAGAAATGGAAAAACAATGTTGCCTTAACTAGATAATTTCTCAGAAAGTGAATTGTTATCTAAAGTTTTGTTAACTTTTTTAAGTTATCACAACTAGGTTTTTTTTTTTTACAGTGCAAAGTGATCACCTATCCAACCTACACATGTGGGAAACGTTGTTGGATAAAAGCTAGAAATCTATCTTCAACATTCATTTAGGGTTCTTACTAATTACACAAATATATATATATATATATATAGGCCTAGTGGAAATATAAATAATACTAAAAAAATATTCAAGGTCAGGCTATCTTTTCCACGTAGAACTACAACACATTGAATGCTATAAATATGACTATGATAATTATAATATTAGTTCCTTGAGGATTCAGTCTTATGCAGATTGGTACCTGTAATGAGTTTTCACAGCTTGCCACAAGGGGGCGTTGTTCATCTTTCTGACAGGCATCTTGAAGGCAGCCAGAAACATCCACAGCACAACTCATTCTTCCCTCACACACCTTTCAGTTTTACTTGAACTATTATGGGCTCAATTAACACAATAATACCACAACTCACTTGGGGACGAAGTGACATAGACCTGAATCCGGGTTACTGTAGTGTAAATGTGCTTAATCATGACTAGTGTATCGCTAATGACCATACAGAGGCAGAGGATTATGTCAAAGGCTTACACCTCCTAATAGTGGTCACCTGGAGAACAAATGAGGTGTGACTAATACCCCGGCTGTCCAGTAACAATGCGTCAGCGAGGCGGACAGGTGAGAGAGTCTGTCCGGGCTCGCGACATGGACACAACAGGTAACGCTGTCTCCCTTTGTTCACTTTAGTGTGTAGGCCTTTGTCAAGAGATGTTAAAGTTGTTTCAGTTTAGTATCGTTTAACAGTTATCAGCATGATCAAGTTTAGACGGGGACAGAAGGTGCTGCTTTTATAATCGACGTCAACAACAAGCCCGAGGTTTTGCTCATTACTTTTACATTAATATGACTGAACTGTCAAAACTAGGCCAATTCTTGTTTGTGTTTACTGTATTTGAGTCGCTGTCCACGGTGCTGGAAATAAACAAGTAGGCCTACAAGGAGAAAAGGACACCGTTGCTTATTTTCTATTCACTTTTATAGAGAAGTCGTTTTCAAATGAGTGCCTTTTATTATCCTGTATTGAGCTTCTGAGTCTTCATTACTCACAGCATATTATTTTCAAAGCAGGCATCCATTTAATTAAACATGACCCGAGGGGAATCACCATGCACCGCTGACTTCTCGGCACACTGGTCCGGAGTATCTGAGCTGCAACAGGGGGGGGACAGGGACCATGAGTTCATTGGGAATGGATTCAGAAGCTGAAAATAAACTAAGTGGGTTACTTCCTTCTTTGTTGGACTACAAAGAAAACTAGGCATTGCGCATTCAATAACGATTTTTTTTGACCTCTTTATGTAAATGATGAGTTTGCCTGTTCATTGTTTTCTTTGTCACATTTTGTCATTTGGAACTTGGATTCTTTTGTGAAGCTTATATATGATCTGAAGCTGCTTTTAAGGGATGTAAATCAACAGCTTTGGTGGGGACCAACCAGAGGGGACCAACTCCAGCATTTTAACATCCACTTTGGACCAGCAGGAGCAAAGAGTTCCACTTCCCCAAATCCCAAACATCCTCCTGTCTGGATGACTAAGGGAAGCATTTCCAGACACATAGCATGGCTCACTCCTCTCACCCCTCTGGCTGGAGGGAGATGACAAATGGAGGGGGCACCCCCACTTCCACAGCGGAGGCCAGGCAGGGGGTTCCCACAGCACCACGCGCTACATGCTGAAGAAGCAGAACCGACACAGACACAGGTCGTCCTCTCCGATGGGCAGGGTCATCCTCATCAATGCACCTGTAGATGGTGAGTCAAAAGTCTGAGTTTGGATTTAAGGTTGGAGAAATTCAATTTAAAATTCAAAATGCAATTGGCTGAAGAGCTGAATGAATTGGTTATTATGGTTATTATAGTAAATAACCATAGTTTTGGTTCCTACAATCTAGCTATAATCTGTTCCTGTATTTGTTTATGATAGTAAGCTGAACATCTTTGAGCTTTGTGCGGTTGATCTGGCCAAACAAGCTATTTGAGGATGTAACTTTTAACTTGGGACCTAGTGATTCATTTTAACACTATTTTCTAACATTAAGAGGCAAAATAATAATAATTGGAAGATTTATCCATGATAAATTCAAAACTTGATCAAAAGGCAACTGGACTTGGTTAAAGATCTTGCAGATGTTTTCAACTATTTATTGAAGCTTTATTAGAAAATTCACAGCTATATTTGAATTTTTTTTAAGTGTCATGGTTCAAGAGCTCTTCAGTTATTTCAAATAAAAAGATTCATATATAGTAAAAAGTTATATTACAAACTGAGAGTACCAGCAAAATGTTTTAAAACTTGTTCTCCTCTGACTGCAACAACACATGTCAGTGTTTTGCAATGGGACGGTTTAAATCGGGTTCATGTCATTGTATTTTGTTGTTGTTTGTGTTTGCAGGAGGGGATGACTGTGAAGACCTTCACACAGTGACTGTAGATAAGAGTCCAGATGGGCGTCTGGGTTTCAGTGTCCGTGGGGGTTCTGAACACGGACTTGGCATATTTGTCAGCAAGGTGGAGGACGCCAGCTCTGCAGGTTAGGAGAGCGTTTGTGTAGTTCTGTTTCTGTGTGACATTTACTTTTGTGTACCATGCTGA